TTCCTGCTTCATTTGGGTTTTCAGGAATCTAAGTGTGATTATTCGTTGTTTGTCTTCAAGCAACAAGGTGTTTATTTACTTCTGTTGATTTATGTCGATGATATATTACTTACAGGCAATCATCCACAACAAATGCATCGTTTAATCCAGCAGCTACGCACATTATTTTCAATGAAAGACTTGGGGCCTCTCCACTATTTTCTGGGTGTGGAAGTCTCATCTTCGCATAATCTGATGCATCTTAGTCAAGCAAAGTATGCATTGGATCTTCTGAAGCGGACCAATTTTCTTGATGCCAAGCCTATTTCAACGCCCGTCTGTGCAGGTCAGAAACTCAGTCTACATGAGGGTGATCCACATCCTGATCCTTACACTTACAGAAGTGTTGTGGGGGCCTTACAGTATCTTACGATCACACGTCCTGATCTTTCATATGCCGTTAATCAAGTGTGTCAGTTCATGCATGCTCCTACTACAACCCACTGGATGGCTGTGAAACGCATTTTACGGTATGTTAAATCTACCTACGCACAAGGTTTGTTGTACAAACCTGGCAGCATGCAGCTCAGTGCGTTCTCAGATGCAGACTACGCAGGAGATCCTGATACACGCCATTCTACGGGAGGTTATGGTATATATTTGGGTTCGAACCTCATCTCCTGGAGTTCCAAGAAACAAAAGACGGTCTCCCGATCAAGCACCGAGGCTGAGTATAGGCAACTGGCCTATACAGCAGCAGAGATTTCTTGGCTACGCTCTTTGTTTCGTGATTTACAGTTGCCTTTTCTTTGTCCACAACTATGGTGTGATAACATTTCATCGATAGCTTTGGCATCTAATCCTGTTTTCCATTCCCGCACCAAACACCTCGAGGTTGACTATCATTTCGTACGTGAAAAAGTGGTGCGTGGTGAGCTTATTGTAAACTTTATTTGTTCACAAGATCAAGTGGCTGATATATTCACCAAAGGTTTGTCGTCATCAAGGTTCAAGACTCTGGTTTCCAAGCTTCCAGTTGTGTCCCGTCCTCTCAGCTTGCGGGGGGATGTTAGATCTAGTCCTTCAGTTCATCTGCTCCATCAACTGCACTGCAACATTCCCTGACAGCAGCACATGTGGAATATAATCTGGACAGCAAGCATCTGCTCCATCAACTGCACTGCAACATTCCTGACAGCAGCACATGTGCTCTGATGTGTGCAGCATGGACAGTAAGCATGCGTGGAATACAACCTGGATAGCAAGCACGCCACATTAGTTTATTGTGTGTACATTAGTTTATTGTGTGTGCGTGTGTAAGATGTATATAAAGCAATCAGATTGAATAATAAAGATATGATATCAATTCTACAGCAATATGTTGATGCCATTATGAAGTTTCCTGGCTGCATAAACCTGATTGTAAACTTGCTGAGATCGGAATCCAGTTCTGCGTGTGAAGCTGCTGCTGGACTTTTAAGATCGATATCCCTTGTTAATTTGTATAGAGATGTGGTCTCACAGAGTGGAGCAAATGAAGAGATAACGGGTTTGCTAAATCGACCGTCTTTGAATCCTGAGGTATAGGATGGATATCTCGCTTGTGGAATCGCGTTCCACATTTTTCTTGATGTAGAAAAGTGAGGTAGATTGTTATAACATTTCTGCAGGTGAAGGAGCAAGCTATATGTACTTTGTGGAACTTGTCCGTCGATGAGAAGTTCAGAGAGAAAATTACAAACATTGATGTGTTGCCATTACTTGTTAAGTCCGTGGATGATGAGGACATAAAGGTGAAGGAAGCAGCTGGAGGGGTGTTGGCAAATTTGGCATTAAGTCACTTTAGTCACAGCATTATGGTTGAAGCAGGTGTTATACCAAAATTGGTGAGACTTCTTCTTCCATTTTTTGTCGGTAGTAGATTTAGCTTTCGAGTTGGATCGGATGGCTTTAGCTAAGTGTACTGGTTTTCATTTTCAATGGTTTTTGATACGTAGTAGTTGGTTTGGGATTATCTTGTATCCATCGCATGTGAAACAAAATATTAAGCATTTCAATCACTATATCATAGTTTCGAATCCCCCTGTTCTAATGTTTTTTGTTATGATACTTATAGATTAATTCACTTTATTAATAATGCAGGCAAAGCTCTTAAGAACTGAGATTGAAGGATCTAAGGTAATTAGAAAGGAGGCAAGAAATGCATTGTTAGAACTGTGTAAGGATGAGTACTTTAGAATTCTTATTGTGGAGGAAGGTCTGGTTCCCGTCCCCATCATTGGTTCAGCTTATAAGTCCTTCAGGCCGGGTTTGTATTCATGGCCTAGTTTACCAGGTGGTGTGGAGATTGAACAGACTTATAAAACTCCCTCCAGGTTTGGTGCCTCTGAATTACTCCTTGGGTTACATGTTGATGACAAAAACGCAAATATAGAGGAAGCCAAGATGAATGCGATTGTTGGACGGACGCAGCAGCAGTTTCTTGCTCGTATGGGGGCCATTGAACTGGAAGATGATAAAAAACAATCTGAATTAACCACCGGTAAACAACTCACACTTTTGCCATGGACAGATGGTGTGGCTAGATTGGTTTTGATTATTGGACTTGAAGATGAGTCTGCAATAACAAGAGCTGCCGAGGCAATTGCTGATGCATCTATCAATGAACATATAAGGATAGCATTCAGAGAAGCTGGGGCAGTTAAGCTTTTAGTACAGCTTCTACACGGTAAGAATGATGCTGTGGTACTGGCTGTAGCTCGTGCACTAGAGAGGTTGTCTGTAAGGTAAGTAATCTTTCACTGTTTTCAAGTCTCTTGTTTTGGGTGTTTTGAATGAAAGGCAAACCCTTTTGAAAATTAAATTGACAGGCGCAATTTATGAGGCAACAAATAACTTGGCCTCTCTACTTAGCTGACAAAGTTCTTGTTTTGCTTGATGCAGCAATGTTGTTTGCCATTTAATTGAAGCCGAAGGTGTTAGAGATCCTTTGACTGACCTTCTAAAGCGTCTGGAGGTCCCTGACATCTTGTTGGGAAAAGGTCATTCATCATGTTATTTTTTGCCAATCTCCAATTCTTACGGCAAGTGATTCCAGTTTAAGTTTATCACGTGAATGATTGTTGTAATGCAGGCCTTGGATATTCTTGCCCGGATCTCAGATCCTAGTAAAAAAATGAAGTCAAAGGTTGGTCAATTGTCTCTTGATAACATGTTTGAAACCTTATAGTTATCAATTAGCTAACCAAGTATGTTGCTTTCTTTCCAGTTTTATGATGGACCAGTAAACGGATAGAAAAAAGGATTGGAGGCTGGAAGGGGTCCTTATGGTTCCATGGGAATAACTGGAGACACAGCTCATATGCCGATGTCAAAAACTAATACCAGGTTCATTACCCCCTCCTCCCTCCCTCCCTCCCTCCCTGTTCTTTTTCTCCATTATGTCACATGTTAAAGGCGAAATTTATGTACTATAGTGTAGCTTCACATACTTTTCCATGTTAAAGCAAAAGAACAAAAAAGGGCAGAACGCAAATGTTTAAGCTTCACTGTGTTGAGTGCATAATTTTCTGGTCCTTTTTGAAAAAACAAGAAAAAAAAAGACTGAGTAAAGTTCTGTCAGTATGAAAATGTGCTCGACTCTGGGGTTATTGCTCGCCTTGTTGAGACATTAAAGACACCAATCCCAAGTTTGCAAACAAAAGCTGCTTCAATCCTTGAGTTCTATACAGTTATTGACCCAAGTATGGACACCATCGTTTCAGTGAATATTGAATCTGGTTTGGATATTGTTTTCCAACAAAAGATTCGTGAAGGTATTGGAAATTATTTTCCTTCTAGTAAAACAGTAAAATATATGAATACGCTGGTTTCGCTTTTGCTTTGAAGGTAAGTAATAACAGTGCTTGTTCACAGATTTGATATTTTATTAACTTCTGTATGTGGTATTTTCAGACACGGAATCAGAAGTATATAATCAGCAGCCAGAAAAATATGCCTTTGAAGTTGAAGAAGCTGGTCTTGCTATATCAGCAGCATCCCGGTTATTTACAAAACTGCTCGACTCTAAGAAGTTCTGCCAAAAAATAGATTCCGCACATTTCACCAAATTTCTCTGTGATATCCTGTAGTCTAATATCCCCCTTCACAACAAAGATTGGGTTGCTGCTTGTTTGGTGAAACTTGGTTCTCTTTCTGGTCCCAGACTAGAATTCAAGGACCAAATCAACATGGAAGTAACTCTCCACGAGACCATTCCGAGACTCGTGGAGCAGTTAAAAACCTCATTCGTTCTAGAAGAAAAGGAAGCTGCGGTTGTAGAACTCAACAAAATAATCTTTGAAGGGGTGGTTGATTGCACTCGAGCCATTGCTTCCGAAGGTGGTATATTTCTGTTGGTCGAACTGATTGAAGAAGGGAGTGAGAGGGCCATTGAAGCAAGCTTGGTGATACTGTATAATCTGAGCATGGACAGTGAGAATCATTCGGCAATTGTAGTTGCTGGAGCAGTTCCCGTTTTGAGGAGAATTGTCCTATCACAAAGACCACAGTGGAACGGGGCATTTCATTTGCTGAGGACTCTTACCCACATAAGGAGATGGTGCCAAACCTTATGGTTATGAGATAATTTTTTCCATTTTTGCCAAACTTAAAGCTATGAATGTACCCTTATATTGAAGGGCGAGGTAACTCCCGTGGAGAATGTAATTTTGTACTGGGGCAGCTGATGCCGTTAGTATATGTACGGATTGTAATCAAGCTCCTTGCCCTTCTGTACAAGCACAGGAATGTAAAAATTTGGTGGTTAAAAGTGAGATAAATTTTTGACGCCATTTTTCTTGTTTTGCACTACACTGTTTAGTTCTGTCCCGAGATGATCATGAGATGAAATTTCGTCGGTTTTTTAGGTCTGAAGACCCTTTCTTTTTGTAGAACTGTGGATTATTTTCTTGCTACATTATTTTAGTTTTGTGGAGATATTTATCAGTTGGACCCGGCCAACTGTTATAACTTATAACCGTCCAACAGCAGAATAGACAGTATTTGAGACGCTCCACCACCACCCACCATGTGTAGCTTATCCTCTTGCCTTTCCCTAACCAAAAACCTTGCCCATGCTTCTCTTTCCAGCGACAACAACGATTCACCGCGGCCACCACCGCGGCCATCTCTCCAAGCCAATACCACCAAACCTCCTCTGCCCAGCAGAAACAATACACCAACGATTCTAAGAAAGAAGCAGCAAAACCAGCTACAAAGCAAGCCGAGGCAGCCTTCTGTCATTGAAATTGAACGAGCTATTGGCGGCGGAAGGTTCCGCGATGCAAACCCAAAGTATGTGACAGTTATACTACTGGTCTTGTTCATATATGTACTTCGCTGAATTTCTCGACTTGCTATCCACTTTTTTAGCTGCTTTTAAGGTTACAATGCTTTGTTTGTTTAACTTCCGCTGCGTTCTTCGAATTCCATTTTCTTGTCGATAGTTGATAAACTGATACGGTTTGTGTGCTACAACATTCAGGGACTTGGAAGAACAGAAGAATGCGAAATTCGACATGTCTATGATGAACTTTCCTAGTAAGTTTGAAGGGCCGGTGGAGAAGAAGCTCCGCGAGACTGGAGAGTGGGTGACCGATAAAACTGAAAAGAGTTTCCGTCTAAATGGTAATATTCTGGCCATAACAAAATGAAGCATGTGAGTTACCAAATGCATTTATCTTTCAATTAGAGTGAACTATTTTATCTGCCGATATGACTAGTAAAGACGCAAAACTGAACACATTGACGTTCGAGGATTTATACAGCCGACCGTACTTAGTGAAAGTAGGCTTGGTTGCTATTATTGTTAGATAGAACTAGTAGAGCTTCTGTATCACTTGTCTCTTCATAACCACCTCATACCGCCTTTCTACATCTTTCGCCATCTGTCGTCCTGAATTCATGAATCCCGCCCGCCATCGATAAACTTCAGGTCCTGATTGATGCAATGCGATCATTTGTTAATTTGTGCATGATCTGCTGCTAACTGCAACCTTGTAAATCATCGATGAACTTATATGTTTTTGGTTTTTGTGTGTTTGCTTGCTTCTGCAGGCAAAAACGTTCTCAAGTTTGTGTTCTTCTGGTTACTACCTATCTGGAGTTTCTCACTCTTAGTGGCCGCTGGGGCCATCAAGCTCAACTCTCCACTTCTTGATGACCTCATCATGTAAACTTGTCAGTTAAATTTTACTTCCATGACAATTCCTCCGACTCTGTATTTTACAATGCGATATTCTAAACAGTTTCAGTTTACGAAAAGAAATATTCGGATTTGGGTGCAAGCGGCAGGGCACGCTTATACCTAATACAGTTATTAACAGTTCTTCTTTTGACATAAAAAAAATCAAGTTGCTGGTGGGCGGACCTCCTAAGTATTTTCTTTTCAAATATTTATTTGTTTACTGGATAATTTTCTGTTCAACAGTCCTAAACTTCTGGATGCAGAATCTTTGGAAACAAAGCCTAAAAGTCTATTTTTTCAATAAATCTCTTTACACGGTTCTGCTTTCTTAAGGTCTTCATGTTAAAGATCTGTACGGACCAAATTTATATCAGTAATACAATTATATTAGTTAAGAATTTAAAATTTTTAAATATTTGACAACTTAATAAAGCAAAACAGTTTAAAATGAAGAAAATTATCCTAATTGTGGGACTGAGGAGAAAAAAAATAGTATAATCTTATGATTAATATGAATTTAACCCTCACATATTCTTAAAACGAAGAATTCTTTGCAATATATGGTGGAATTAGGTAGTTCCGTGACTGTGTCCTACGAGACGAGGAGGAGGGTATGTTCCTTGCTTGTAATGGTGGTGAACGTGGGACACTAATCATATTATATGTGTGATATGACGCACACCAAAAGCCGGTCATAATTTCATAATTTCCAACCAATAAAAAATAATTAAATTCGAGCAAAAAAATAAAAAAAAAAAAGTGACTCGTCACCTCAGGAAAAAATGAAATAAAAAGGAAAGAATAAAAATGGAAAATCGAAATCACAACGACACCGTTGCATTGTTTCTGCTTTGCAGCCTGTCGTTCTTGAGTTCTTCTCTTTCGTTTCTCATCGCATAATTTCTTCAAAGTCCTTCGCTTTCCTCTCTCTTCCTCCAACCCATCGGAGCCACAGAGAGAGAAGAGAGAGAAACAAGGTCTGTAAGCCAGGTCACCGTGTCTTATTCTAGAGACAGAAAGTGGTAGTGAGAGTGAGAGAGAGAGAGAGCGATCTGAGCGGTGGAGGAATTGGCGTGGTGCAGTAGAAGAAGAAGCAGAGAGAAATGGGGACGCTTCAGACGTGGAGGAAAGCCTACGGTGCTCTCAAAGACTCCACCAAAGTCGGCCTTGCCCACGTCAACAGCGATTACGCGGTGCCAATTCCTTTCCTTTTCTTTAATCTCCGTTGACTTAATTAATTATAAGCAAAAACATAAAGATTAGATTTTGGTAATCCGGAGGAATTGGATTTTGATTTTGGATTTGGGTTTGTTTTCTAAGAATAGGATTTGGATGTTGCGATAGTCAAAGCCACCAACCATGTCGAGTGCCCGCCCAAAGAGAGACACCTCAGAAGTCAGTTTCTAATTTTTCAGATCCGTTGTTCTATCAAATGGGTGGTTGGATTTTGATCCAAAGATGTGATTTTTACATTTGGGGTTTTGTTGGATGCAGAGATTCTGATTGCCACATCGTCAATTCGACCGCGGGCGGATGTTGCTTATTGCATTCATGCTCTTTCAAGAAGATTAAGCAAGACCCATAATTGGACGGTATGCCGTGCTTCCCCATTCAATTGCAAAATTTGCAATGCCATACATTTTAATTTCGATTTTGTATTGGATGGTTATTGGCCTTAATATGTATCTATTTCCCTTGAATTTCAAGTGGGGTTTACTTAATATTGTTGTTTATCATGCCTACTGAGTTTGCTTGGAAATATAGTTGGTTGCTTTAATAAACCGCGTAAATGTGTCTAAGTTAATCACTCATAGTATTGTGGTGTTAGTCAATAACAGTACAGTGAAATACTGACATTAGGTTCCTACGTAAATGTTCTTCATTTTTTTATTTGCTCCACTAGATGCCTCTTTTTAATCTTTTTGTGCAAAGGATTTCTTTTGATGTAAGTTTATGTGCTTTTAACTATTTTGAAGTGAAATCAGTGATCTTCTACTGGTCTGGTTCAATTTTGTGTCAGTTTACGTTGTATGATGTAACACTTATTTGATTGTTTTCTTTTTGGCTGTATATGGCTCATTCTTATGGATTAATATGCGTATGTAATATGTATACATATGTTTTGATTTCTGTTAAACTTAGATTGTATTATTTTTGCGTTTGAGATTGGCAGGTAGCTTTAAAAACATTGATAGTTATCCATAGGACCTTGAGGGAGGGCGATCCTACTTTCAGAGAAGAACTTCTAAATTTCTCGCAGAGGGGAAGAATTCTCCAGCTTTCTAATTTCAAAGACGAATCCAGCCCCATTGGTGAATTTCAAATGCCTTAATCTCTTGAATTCTCTGAATTTTCTCTCGTCTTTTGCATGTCAATTGTCATTACTAGCTATTAGTTGATTGAAATTATGACATTTATTTGAACGCAAAATTGAAGAAAAGCAAACACATCTGTAACATAAAGATAAATAATATTCCCTTCTGTTTGCCTTTTCCTCTTCTGCAGCTTGGGATTGCTCTGCCTGGGTGCGTACTTATGCATTGTTTTTGGAGGAACGGCTCGAATGCTTTAGGGTTCTGAAGTATGACATTGAAGCTGAACGTCTTCCAAGGCCTGCCGAGGGCCAAGAGAAGGTACTTTACCAAATCTTCATGGTTCATTACTAGTTAGGATTTGGTGATAAAGATGCTTTCTTTTGCCTCAAACATAAGTCATTATTTTATGAGGATTCACAATCTTTTCTTTCCTGTGTTTAACTACTAACAGGGATATAGTAGAACCCGAGAACTGGATAGTGAAGAACTGCTGGAGCAGTTGCCTGCCTTACAGCAGCTTCTGTATCGTCTTATTGGTTGCCGGGTAACATATTTGGAACTTGTGGTTTATCTGTTGCACTCAAACATGTGTATAAATATTCATTTCGTGATACATTATTATATCTCTGTAAAGTTATATATAGAGAGAATATTACAACCTTTTTATACATTTGTGCAAAATGATTGATTTTGCTTCTAAATTTGCAGCCAGAAGGAGCAGCTTCCATCAATTACGTTATACAGTATGCTCTGGCCCTGGTATGTCCCACATCTTCATTTTAGTTTTGTTTTCTCTCACATATGACAATGTTATTTAAATTATAAATGGAGTATCAAGTGCTGAAAGCAAGCTTTAATCCTTATACTATTAAAGTCAGTTTAACAAATAACAGATAAAGGCTATTTTTATTTCATATCTGACCTTTTGAGTCCCTACTTTCAGGTATTGAAAGAGAGCTTTAAAATTTATTGTTCCATTAATGATGGAATCATAAATCTTGTTGATAAGGTAAATATATTATATCATTCAAGCTAATACTTTGTTACCAATGGCTATATGTTTCTCAAATCCGATTTTGCTGCAGTTTTTTGAGATGCCAAGACATGAAGCAGTTAAAGCCCTGGATGTTTATAAACGAGCTGGTCAGCAGGTAGACATCCGCAATCATCTTGGGTTCTCATGAGTTTTTGCTATAGTATCGGTTATTAGTTTAAGTTTGCTGCTCTGCTAAAGATATCTTGGTATTTGCTGCAGGCTGCAGGTCTTTCTGATTTTTATGATGTTTGCAAAGGATTGGAACTTGCTAGGAATTTCCAGTTTCCAGTCTTGAGAGAGGTCTTATAGGTTTCCAGCGCATTTATTTATATTCCTTTCTTGCCGTTTTCTCAGCTTATGCTAAGTACTTTATTTTAACCTTTTCAGCCTCCACAATCCTTCCTCATAACGATGGAAGAGTATATAAAAGAGGCACCGCGGGCTGTAACTGTTCCAAGTGAGACATTGGTTGGTACTTATTCTTGTTCTTTTTTTGTTATGGAATTTTAAGCGTTTTGAGTTTTGATCAGTTAGGTTCTTTACCAATGGAATTTTATTTTGTAAAAACAATTATAGATAATTTATATCTGCTCATTGTGAACAGCTTTTGACATATAGACCAGAAGAACCCTCAGAAGACGCAAAGTTATCTGGTGATGAATCTGAGCCACCAGCTTTAGACATTGTGCCTGTGTCTAATGTTGAGACGGAAGCTCCTCTGCCACCTCCACCGCCACCTCCTCAAAGTAGCATGGCCACTGGAGATTTACTGGTAGATTACGAGTTCTGCCTTCTATGAATTTTCACTGTTTTTGTTTATTTTATTCTACACATTCTCTGTGTCACTGATTTCCATTTTTTCACCCCAACCAATCTCTTTCTGTTTTTTCACCCCAACCAATCTCTTTCTGTGGATTCAGGGATTGGATTATAGCGCAGCTGATGTATCTGCGATTGAGGACAGAAATGCTTTAGCTCTAGCTATAATTACATCTGAAGCCGGTACCATTTTGTTATATTATATTATTTGTTTATTTATTATTTGGCATTTTCTGACTTCCATAGTTCCATGACTCTTAAATCTCTCCTGCTTTTATTTGCAGATGCAGCTCCAACATTCAATTCTGGTGCAGCCCAAGCAAATGGTTTTGATCCTACTGGATGGGAACTTGCCCTGGTCTCCACTCCAAGTACCGACATTTCAGCACCTAATGAGAGGCAATTGGTAGGCCCATCCCTTGCTTTCAAAATTTATAGTTTTTATCGTTTACTATACCTGTTGTCGATGACCATTTTACTAATAAGTACACGTCCCCAACAGTATGAAGTAATGATTTTTCTCACTATATTTGATTTGCTTCCATAATATGCAAAGATATTACTGGGCTTCGGTTTATACATCACCTTGTAGGATTTTTGTCCTGATAGTGGCTTGCAATTTGATTGATACATGTTTTTGGTTCTTGTCAGGCTGGTGGGTTAGACTCACTTACTCTGAACAGCTTATACGATGAAGGAGCGTATAGGGTGTCTCAGCAGCCTGTCTATGGAGCTCCAGCCCCGAATCCATTTGAGGTCCAAGACCCATTTGCTTTTTCAAACAATGTTGCTCCCCCACCCGCAGTTCAAATCACATCAATGGCCCAGCAGCAGTCCAACCCCTTTGGTCCTTTCCAACCTACCTACCACCAGCCGCAGCCGAATGTGATGATGGGTGCAACAAATCCTTT